GGGTATTTCTTCAAATTCAAATAAATTTTCAGAAATTTTCTTTAAATTTAAATAAATTTTCAGAAACTAGATTTTCAAGAGGGGGGGGGGTAATTTCTTCAAATTCGAATAAATTATAAATTCTCAGAAATTAAAGATTCGTTAAATGATAACGCTTCTATTTTAAATTGATGTGCAATAAAATCTAATGAAACGTTAGTAAATGATATGATATTATTAAATCGGGAATATTATGAAAATTTTTGAGAGGAGGAGAGGAGGAGGAGGAGGAGGAGGGGGGGGATTTAAAAAAAATTGATAAAATTTTCTTTTTTAAGTGTCTATCTAAATTAAAAATTTTTGAAGGGGGAGGGGGGGGTATTAGAAAATCAAATTGATCTGGCCTTATAAAAATATCTAAAATATATTATATTTTGATTCTATAAGTTGTAAAAAGAATCAGAGATATCTTGAATATCACGTTGTAATTTTCAAGTTTATACTTTATTAATTACAATAAGAATAATTAAATATTTTAATAATATGAATTTATTATTCTCTAAAGAGGTCTTATTAGAGATTGATACTAAAAAAGTATCGTGAAATTGGGATTAAGAGAGAAATAGGTTATATGTATAAAAATTAATGGTTTAATATTACTAGAAGTTTTAAAAGATAAAAATCGATTTGATCCAGCGCAAAATTTAGCATTTATATACTTTTTTTTTTGGAAGAAAGCATACTCCGATTTTGTTTCACGTATTTTGTTATTGTTGCATTAACATAATCGTAAAAATGCCTTTGTCCGAATATAATTACCCGTATATGTATTAGTTTAAAATGCGTTTTCCGTGTGAAACTTCCGATAATTCCGATGTAGAAGAATTTCTTTGTTAACAATACTTCAATTAGACAATCATATAAATCAAGGAATACCAATAATCAAGAGTATAATTTAAACTAACTATAAATTCTTTATTTAATATTATCGCATGGCCCTATTTTATTTGACCATTATCGTACAATATTGATATCAATAGTTTTATTTGCGTACAATATTGAAATATTGATAGATCTGCATTAGTCGAGATATTGTACGGTAGTATTTATATTGGTTAA